CGCCCTTGGATGCTGCATGCCGAAACCTTGTGAGGCGATCTTTTAAAAATGTACACTGCAGATAATGACTCATGTTGGCCAGTAGACCGAGTTCATTATCTCTCCATAATAGGATAGGCTCAATTCAAATATGATCGAGTCTTTGAATAGAACATCAGAAAATGGAAGAAGTGGAGAATTTCTTTGTGATCATTAAAAATATCCAGGTATAATGGAGTATTGTTCACCATGTCAGGCTAATGATGTCCTCTAAAAGTGAGGAGGAAAAGGGGAAATTTTGTCAGATATGAAGAGAAGTAATTAACTGCCTTTCTCTCTGCCGTGCCTTGGTCAGGGAAGTGGACATTCCAATTAGCAACTTGAGCACACCCACGGGCCCTCTGGATTTTGTGATGTGGTTTGGGGAAAGGTGTCATGATACTATATTCCTGTAGAAACTCATCGAGCATCAAGGTTGCCCCTAAGGCCAATTACATCTGTTCGTCCCCGGCGCTTATTACAATGCTTCATAGTCATAAGCCACCTTGATACCTTAAGGTGAAGCAGCTCTGGTAAGAGGAACAAAAACATGGGTAGAAAAGTAGTTATTTAGAAGGCAGCTGACCTTTGGCAGGTAACGGCTTCATTAGCTCAGTCTGCGTGATCTGTGACTTACACCCATTCAATTCAAACAGTTTGTCGCTGCTATAGGTCCATTTAATGAAACGTATTTTAACTTTGATCTTGTACTGTAACCCCGATCTCTTGGACAGATTGAATGAGCAAACAAGCCACAAGTACGGCAAATAGAAACTGAGGCACAGGGGGCTCGTGTAACTAATGAGTGGGGGAGCCAGGAATTTACCTGGGAGCCTGGGCTCTTCCACACCACATTTGGAAGCGTTATTTACCCCTAGAACTCACTTTGGTGTCTTTTAATCTTGGAGATTAATGTTTGAGTCCCCGTTCAACCCAGTTAGGAACCCGAGAACTTGCCTGGGTTGCTCCTACCCTTCTCACATCGGGAGACCGGAGATCTACACCCCGATATTATAAGCTCTGCCCTCATGGCCAGCCCTTCAATTCATGCTCCATCATCATTTCTTGCCTGGACTATTTTAATTGCTCCTAACTGGTCTCATTTCGTTCATTCATTTGTTCATTCAACAAATACTAATTATTCAGCCACTATGTGCCAGGCTTCACTAGTCCACCCACTATAGAGGTGCCAGAGTGACCTTTCCAGAGAATTAATTTGATCATGCCACTCTCATCCTTAAAAAAAAACAAAAAACAAAACAAAAAAAAAACTTAACTGTCTCCCTATCATTTTACAGGATCATTTGCCTTTTATAAGATGAATTCTGAATGGTTTGAAATACATGTTTGTTAAATGTGCCCCTGGGTTTTTCTGGCCAAAATTAATTTTAGGAAGTATTAGCAAAGATAAGCAAAAAGGGATACTCTCCCCCGCCTCGCAGCTTGTCACGCACCCAGTTCTGGCTGCCCAAATTGTTCACGTGTCTGCTTTAACCTGGAAAATGTTCCACAGCAGTCCGAAGAACTGCAGTCAAAGCTCTTTAAGGCAATTGCTTAATGGAACTCTCACTAGTCTAAGATGAAACCTATGAAACTCGGATTTTTAAAAAATATTCTTTTGTACTCAATCCATTGCTGGCAAATAGAGCATCTTAAGTTTTAAATTAATGTTAGTTACTGTCGTTATTGGTGGCATCGTTATTATTCCTACAGCATCCCAGAAACACGAGGGTCTTCCAGCCTCCGAGCCTTTATTTTTTCAGTTCTCTGAGTATCATGCTGTTGCCTTCCGAAAATTAAACACTTTCGTAGCTCACTCTTCAACTTCAGGGGTCGCTAAACTCTTCTGCCAGGCCATATTCTCCAGTGGGCATTTAAATATGCTCTACGCCCCCTCCCGCATCGTTCTTTCCTTTTAGATAGTCCTCTACGAGGCCCCGTCTCCACTTAGACCAGTGTCTTCATCATCCAAAGCACATGCCACATTTGTCTCTAATCCTCGCTGGGGGTCCTGTCCCTCTCCTGTGGAGATTACTACAGTGGGACTGAGTGAGACAAACTCTCCCATTTACTAGCTGGCTGCATGGCCATGGGCAAATGGGTTCCACTCTGAGAGCCTCGGTTTCCTCATCTGAAACATGAGTATCATACCTGCCTCATAGGGTTATCGTGAGGATCCAATGAGACGGAATGAGATACCTAGTGCCTGGCACCTGGTGAGAGCTCGACAGATGTTGGCCGTTGTCGTTGTTACAAAGTGGCCGTCCCAATTCATCCACGGACCCTGAGTCATCTGCTCTCATGAGACTAATCTCTGTTTTCTCACCTTCGACTGCACCTATCTATGGTCAGCAGTTTGTAGTACTTAAATATTCTTAGTTCTGTGCATTACTCTTCCCTGATTAGACTGGAAAATAGGGCATAGATCCTGGCTTATGTCAACACAAGAGCCTACAGGAGCCAGACAAGGAACAGAAAAGAGACTGGGTGTAAGAAAAATAGGGCGGAGTGAGGACTCTGGCCAATGCGAGGGGGCACATGTAGCTCTGGCAATTGTTGTCATACGGGAAGATGGGCCCAGTGTTGCCAGATCTCAGCCTTTTCACAAGAAGCCAGAAATCCAGATCCTAATGTGAAATGTCCTGAATTTTAAAAGTTGGGCCAACACTGTTCAGGCTCAACAAAGCATGTCTGTGCGACCCCAGTCTGTGAAAGCTGCCTTGTTCAGATGGCCCCTACAGGTTTGTGTGGATGCTTATTTAGACCTCTCTACTCACTTTTATGGAGAAACAATACTGCGGATGGCATTTAGGGATCCAGGCTAAGCTAGAAGGCTGATTCCCATTCACGCCAGACCTGACGCTTAGGACAGTCCTGTGAAACCTAATCTCTGTGTGAAACCATTTCCCTCCAGGGAACACATTCAGCGTTCCGAGTTGCGATGCTGGGGACACGTATACTAGAGTGGCAGCCTTTTCAGGACAGGACCTTTGTTTTTATTCACTCCCATTTCCTTAATGTTTGGAATGCTGCCTGGCACCCAATAAATATTTGTGAAAGTAAAGATTACCTGTGTCTTTATCCATCCGTCCACCATTCATCTGTTCTCCATGTGCAAGCAAGGTCCCTCTTGTCCACTGTGGTATCCGCAGCACCTGGCAGGTGGTAAGAGAGCAATAACTATTTGTTGAATGAACAGATGACTGAAACAATGTATTCATCAGGCATTTATTGAGTACCTGCCGTGTACTAAGGAATACACTGGACTTTGAGGGTGCAGAAGTGACTCAGACACCAGCCCGGCCTCAAGGAATTAATTTGCCTAGAACCGATTGCATCAAGTATTTCTTAAAACACTTCTAAAAATGTCAAGAGTTACTCAATGTTCCCCTTCCCAGAAGAGGGAGGGCGGTGGATGAGGTGACCTGGGACCGTTTGGGACCCGGCCTTTGCGTCGATCTGAGCATCTCTAGGGTTGTATCCAACTGTGGGGCGTGAATGCGAACGATCGAACTGGTTTTCTTTCGACCGCATGTCGGGATGAGCCAAATGACCGCTGCCCTTTCAAGTGGGCTCCTCAGGAGGCCGCGTCCTCATTCCACTTCGGTTACGACAGCGCTGGACCACTTCCTTGGCCAGTGCCCTCAGGGGAAGTTAGAAGCCACTCAGGGACACTTATTTCATAGCTCTAGAATCATGCCTTATTTTTCTCCACCCCCGCCTCCCCCCGCAAAAAAAAAAAAAAAAAAATGTTTGGGAGGAAAGGGTTGTTCCAGTCACTTTACCCCTCAGATTTGGTTCCAAATTACTTTGGGTCGTTTCCTAAAATCCAATTCACGATCAAAGGAGAAATATTTTCTGTCGGTGAGTTTTTTGGACAGTGTGTGCCCCAGGCTCTGAAGGCATCAGAGCCCAAACAGAATCCCCAAATTGTCATATGTCCCAGTAGTTCATTTAGAAGACATGTTTAACCTTCTCGTGTGTCTGTGACAAAATAGGCAGAGGTCTTTTGGATGCCTACATTCTGGTGGTGTTTGGGTTAAAGAGGGGAAAAAAAGATAAACTCTATCTAGTTTACTTTTACTTTTACCCAGTATCTGTTACACATTCTAGACATATAGGAGCCCAGAAATGTTTTGTGGAGAGGAAAAATATATGATAATGAGGTCCAGCATTTACTAAGTACTCAGCCTGCTGGCACATGTCACACATTATATCCGATCACCACAACAACCTTATGGGGCAGTTACAGTCATCACCTCCAAGGGAAACTGAGGCCTGAGGTTAAGTAACTTGCCCAAGGTCACCAAGCCAGCAGTGATAAGGCTGGGATTTAAACCCAAGTAGAACTTCCTTACCCTGAACCCCTAACCTATTCTCATTAAGAAGGTCATCGGTAGAGAATCGCATAATCCTAGCACAGCAGAGATGGCAATCCTAAAGAGACCGGGAGGTTCGGTTCCCCACTGTGGGGAGGAAACCTCCCTTCAATCAGCAGGTTAGTGACTGTCCAGCTGGCAACCTCTTCTGGGGCGTTTGCTTTCCCAGGCCACCCCCATCACTGCTATTGTTAGCCAGGAAGCTCTCCAAGATTTTGACACCTGTTCGAAATGGTTACATGAAGGAGCACGCAGTTCAAAGCTTGGCTGAGCGGGGCACCCGTAAGACGCCGTATTATTTTTGGAGTTTGGGGGAACACAATCCATCCAGAATGTAGCGAGGCCAATGACAGCACAGGGGAGAGGGACTGAGAATTTGGGCTGAAAAAGTGACCTCAGATCATACCGACAGGGACCAGGAGTCTGATCCTGCCAACCTGCTCACTCCATCATGACCTTGGGGCGTGTCGCTTTGTCCTCCTGGGCCTCGCCTTCCCCAGCTGTGGGGAGAGAGTTATTACCGAAGTCCGCCCAGCTCTGAAGGAAGTCTAGAAAGAACATGCCCTCTTGCTGAGGTTACTCATTAGACATTTATTTCCCCAGGCTGGAGGAGAACTATGAGATTGCAGAAGGGGTCTGCATTCCTCGAAGTGCCCTCTACATGCATTACCTGGATTTCTGCGAGAAGAACGACACTCAGCCCGTCAACGCTGCCAGCTTTGGAAAGGTGAGTCCAGCCTGAACAAGCGTATTCCTTATTTTCCCGCCTTTAAGTAATTTATGCACGGTTTTTAATCGTGTTACTTGTTGTTGTTGTTTTTTTTCAATTACCAAAGTAAACATTTGGAAACTTTTCTAGAATACTTCACTGTAAAAAGTTCAAACACTTGTTAACAAAGGAACACCAAAACAAAACCAACGTGTTAAAAACCTCGAACAGTTCAGACAGGTTATAAAGGAAAAAGCGAATGTCTAACTTGAATTTCCTCAGTCCTTAATTGGCAGAAAGTAACTTCTTTCCTCTGAGAGGCAAATATTGAACTCACAAGCGTGTTACGTGTGTGTCAGTGAGCCTAGGACAGGCAGACTGCCTGTCTTCCTAATGCGAAAGCCCTTAGAGAAGCTAGGAAACGGCCTGGCATCGTTGGCTTAGATGTCTGGGAGTCCTGCTGGGAGTGGGGGTGTCTGTCGTGTCCCTGTAGGCCTGACTGTCCTCTGTCCACCTTATGCTAAAAATATATTCCACACTTAGGGCTGTGTCTACAAAAAATTGTCGTCGCTGATCATTCATATTTAACAGGCCAAGGAAAGCTGTCGGAGCACTTTAAGACTGATCTTTTGTTTATGTGATAGATCAAAATCCAGATTTTTACACCTCCAAAAGACCCAATTTAATCCGAGTCAGTACATCGAAATTCTTTCTCCTTTCGTTCGCCTCTCTTTCCGCTGTATAGTTTTTA